CAGCCTGAGACCAGCTCAATAACGAAGAGAATCATTTTATCGGAAACGGCTCAACTCTTCGATCCACTGGGTTTCCTAGCGCCAGTGGTCATACGAGCGAAGATATTGCTCCAGGCTCTATGGATCGAGAAACTGGGATGGGACGAACCAGTTTCCCAGACAACTGCTCAACGATGGAGCCAATTCAGGGAGGAGCTCACACAGTTATCAGAGATCACCATACCTCGGTGGCTTGGACTGCTCACGGATTCCGTCGTCGAAGTACACGGTTTTTCCGACGCATCACAAGTGGCGATGTCAGCCGTGATCTATCTCAAGGTTCTCAACAAGGGAAAATCACAACTCACATTGGTTTGCTCAAAAACGAAGGTCGCACCGCTCAAACGGCTGACAATCCCACGACTAGAACTCACTGCGGCTCTCCTCCTGGCCAAACTGACTAAGTACGTCAAGGACCAACTCAATCTCACGAACGCCACCACCTATCTCTGGACCGACTCATCGGTCACGCTCACGTGGATCAGCTCACACTCCTCAAGATGGAAGGAGTTCGTGAAAAATCGGGTGGCACTCATCCAGGAGCTCACTCAGCAGGCTCATTGGAGATTGGTACCGGGCAAGGAGAATCCTGCAGACTGTGCATCTCGAGGTCTATCAGCGCACCAACTGGTATCTCATAAGCTCTGGTGGAAAGGGCCACCATGGCTTCATCAAGACTGCTCATCATGGCCAACTCACGCTCTGGAAAAAGACCTCAGCGCAGACCTCGAGGAAAAGCCAGGAGTTCTCCTACATGTAAAAGCTCATCCAATCGCGCTCTGGAATCTCGTCGACAGATTCTCATCGTTCAACCGACTGCTCAGGGTCACAGCAATCTGTCGACGATTCATAGCTCGGCTCAGGAAAACCCCCAACTCTTCTCTTCGATACCCGCTCACTCTTGGTGATCTTGAAGAGGCTCGCATCCTCTGGATCAAACTCACGCAGGCAGCTCACTTCAAGGATCAACTCAGAGCGATCTCACGAGGGGAAAGGTTCAGCAAATCCCACCCCCTCACCAAGCACGCACCCTTCATCGATCGCCAAGGGGTATTGAGGATAGGAGGACGCCTCAAGTTTGCTCACATAGGCCTAGAGAGCCGGAACCAAGTGATTATTCCGAAGGAATCTCAACTGACTCAGCTACTCATCGGACAGGCTCATCTAAGGACACTACACGGAGGCACACAGCTCACCCTCACGCAGCTCAGAAGTAGCTACTGGATACTCGGAGGTCGAGCACCAGTACGCTCCTTCAT